TCCCTCTGTTCAAAAGTAATTCTAATCTTTGAATCTTAAGGTCACAATGAAATAACCAAAATGTGTAACATTAGTAATAAAAAATTTTAGGGTGTCTCTCTCTCTCTCTCTCTCTCTCTCTCCCTCTCTGTGTGTGGATGAGAAAGACAGAATACTAAAATATGGTTATTTAAATTAATAGAGAATAGATTGTAGTATCAAATAAAATTTTTAATTACCCCATTTGAACCACAGATCGTGCCAGTCTGTACAAATGTATCATCATGAGTTGTCCTTAATGTTAGATTCCTTAAATATGCAGATATACACACATGTCCTCTCAAGTAAGTATATTGAATATCATGATCTGCCAAGGGGACCAGTCCTGTTGCTGTCCAGTGACAAACTATCTTTCCACAAAGTATAGATCTGGCAATATAACACAGGAAAAATGATCCATTTGTTATTTCAGAACAATCATAAGTAGAACACATAAACTCATCTTTATATACTAGGCTTGTCTCTTATTTTAATTAATCATAATTCATTCAGAGCAGACACAGACAAAAATATTTGAAATACATATAATTTTCTGGATACAGACCGATAACCACAAGCTTTTCCTTGACAGCTTCCAAAGTCATCCACATTAGAATTCAGCTCTTGTATGCATAAATAATCAGCACCCTTTGCAACTGAAAAATGTAATCAAAGTCCAAATTACTTATCTTAATCAAAATGTAAAGGTTAAATGATAAGTGATGGTAAATTAACAGAGACATTTAGATTCGTCTTATGAGGCCGGTCAGTGTTACCCATTATCGAGTCATGTGGGAAAACTTCTGGACAGACCGAAAGGTAAAACACCTCCTAACGTGTCCCCTTGTAGAAAAGGGACATTTGTGTCACAGTACAGAATTTACTGAGGAGTCAGCCATGTGCTTTCCTATCAGCCATGCTAATATTCACTTCCTTTTTGCTCATCACTCAAAAATTGACAAATAATACCATTCTTTTTATACTCTACTTACTGTCTCTTTTGCCACTTAACATAATCAAAAGTTACCTTTATTAAGTTTCCAATGTTGCTGTATTTTCAAATTTGGTTTGAATGAAATCAACACTTTTCAATCATTCTATAGAATGGATTACTGATTTCAGAATAATTCATTTAAAAACAAACCCCACTAACTCTAATGGGATGCAGAAAAGGCAGCAGTCAAAGGTAAATTTATAGCAATAAATAGCTGAACTAAGAAAGATCCAAAAATAAATAGCTCAATTCAACAACTTGAGCAAAAAATTATCCCTCAAAGCTACCAGAAGAAAGCAAACAATGCAAAGCAGTACATAAATAAAAGAAAGGTGACAACATGCTATACATAAAGAGACTCCTTGAATCCAAAAGCAAGGTTTTACAACTAATAAATGAATTCAGCAAATTGGGATGGTCCAAGGGAAACCACAAAAATCAGGCTGATTTTTATGCATGAGCAAAAGTGAAGAAGAAGGAAGCATTAACATTTATTGCAGGACTTAATAGCATAACATTTATATGAATTTAACCAGGAAGAAAAATGAAAAGACCTGCATGTTGCTGTTTGCCCTCACGTCTGCGACAATTCATATTGACCCTATGTATGTTACATTCTCTAGAAGAGTCTAGAGACATCCCCAAGAAAGCAAAAGGTGTGCATTGGGTCACACCATGTACTTTAATTGGGATGTAACCCCACCTTAATCCTGTCCAGTAGAGCAGTAAAGCAGAACTGTAGTCATAGGGATAAAGTCAAGAATTATATCACATAAAGAATTATGGCCAGTGGGGCCGTATTAATTGACTACATTTTAGATGGAAATTAAAATAATAAGTTTCCATTTTATCCATATTAGAGTGGTAAAGATCAATAAAACTAAACAAGGGTTGTCAAAGTTGTTAAAAAACTATCTTGTGATTGACTAATTTCACTCAGTTTCCAGGTCCATCCATATCATGAGCTGTTCCATGGTTTCAGGACTGTTTTTCAGGGATGTGTTGAATTTTACTGGGTGTATGTACCAGAAGTTTTTAAATCCATTCTTCTACTGATGGGCATTTGGGCTGTCTCTATCTTATTGCTATTGTGAACTGTGCTTCAATTAACATAGGAGGAGGGAGCAACCATCTGTAGTGTTGCCTGCGGATCCCATGAACCTTAGTACACTGCCAGCCTTGGGTTCATTCAGTTGACCTTGAATCCATTTACCTATGCATTGACCAGCCTGTGGGTGCCTGCTTAATCATCCTGATTCCTTTGTGTCAGCTTTCATGTCTCTGTGAGTCAAGAGAAGCCTGACATGACCTGGACTGGGCTTACTTCTACAACTATGGAAGCCATTTCTTGATATCAATCTCTTTCTAAATTCATACATATACACACATGATTCGTTTTGCTTCTCTAAAGATCCAAGCCTAACACATTTGCGCATGAGGCAATTGAAAATATCGTGGCTTGAGTCAGGCGCCTCTTACGCACGTCAAGGTAGAATCCTTGGTTTTCAATACTTTAAAGAGGTCTGGTGCAGCAGATTTACCCAATATAATGTGTTGGTTGATCTCTTGACTGCTGCTTCCACTGGACATTGATTCTGGATCCAAGCAAGACGAAATCCTTGACAGCATCAATCTGTCCTTATTTTACCATGATGTTACCAGTTGTAATTATCTTTCTTCTCTTTCCCTTCAGTTATAATCTATATTGAAGGATGCAATCCTTGATCTTCATCAGCAAGTGCTTCTCACTTTCAGCAAGCAAGGTGTGTCGCATGCATATTGCCTGCGCACAGTCAATAAAGCACATCTTTCTCCTATTCTCCGCTTTCAGCCCAGATCCAGTTGACACCAACAATGATATCCCTTGTTCCATGTCCTCTTCTGAATCCAGCATGAACTTCTAGCAGCCCCCTGTCAATGTACTGATGCAAACTGAGCTTCAGCAAAATTTTACTTACATATGATGTCAATGATGTTGTTCTAATAACTTCCACTTTCTGTGGGATCACCTTTCGTTGGATGGGTACAATTGTGGATCTCTTCCAGCCAGTTAGCCGGGTAGCTGTCTTCCAAATTGTGCTTTATAGATGAGTGAGTGCTTCTAGTGCATCATCAGCTTGTTGAATCATTTCAATTGATATTCCATCAATTCCTGAAGTTTGTTTTTGGCAAATACCTTCAAGTGCTTGGACTTCCTCCTTCAATACCATTGGTTCTTGCCCACGGGGCACTTCTTGAGCTGCTTAATGTCCACTCGTTCTTTTTGGCACAGTGACTCTGCATTCTTTAGAACTTCTTTGGATGCTTCCTGAAATGCTCAGTATTCTGCTTGGAGATTCTTTCAGTATTTCAACTCTAGACATAAAACGTTATCTTCAATTATTTCAGTTTCGAATATGCTGACGGTGTCCTTCCTTTTTTGGTTTTGTAACTCTAGTTGTTGCACATTTCATTAGCATGCTTTGTCTTCTCGGGCCGCCCTTTGAAATGTTCTGTTCAGTTCTTTGACGTTATTGTTTCTTCCATTTCTTTAGTGTATGATTAAGAACACGTTCCAAAGTTTATTCTGATATCCACTTTGATCTTTTCTTTCTTTCCTGTCTTTTTCCTTTCTAAATGTATGTTCTTGATGCCATATCACAGCTCATCAATGTTCTCTCATTAATGTTTAATAGATCAATGTAGGCTATAATTTATATGAAATAAGCAAGTACACAAAAAACAAAAGTTATTAGTGGTTGTCAAGGATGGGAAGGAAGGAATAATGAGGACTTTTTTCTTATAAGGAAAAAGGTTTATGGTAACTCTGCTGAAATAATTTGGAAAGGAGAAGTAAAATGGTTGCAGAACTTAAAGAATATAGTCAATGGTACCAGAATATTTTTAAAATAAGAAAAGAAAATGCATCTAAATTAGCAGGCAATCCAAGGGATAAAAGGGACAGTCCTTTTGAAAATTGAAGAATATGGTTGTTAGATCTTTTATTTTTTTTATGTTTGGAAGGAATTGATAAATAAAAATGTATCACTTAAAAATAGATATGCAAATAAACTCCAGAAAAAATGATAAATGCATTACATTTTCCAAACAAGTCTATACACTGGCGGTCCATACTTTGGCACCTTCCTTCAAAGCAAAAGGCAGTATAATTATCACACGGTTCTAAATCAGCAGATTTCATATCAGGGACACAGAATTCAGATGTTCCCGTACAATATTCTGTAAAGTCACATGGATCATGGCTTTTCCTACATACTTTTCCATGTTCAGATACCTGTGGGAGAAGTAAAACAAAAACAGAAATACTGTTTTAAGTGCTAAACCAAAGTTTAAAATTTTAGTTTAAATAGACACATTACATTTGTATACATGTCTCTTTCTGTCCGCCTAGGATCTTGTGTTGTTGCATAACTGCTGGGCTCCAAGTGATGTCACTGGCATGTCAAATCCCTGTATGTTTTCTGCATGGTGAATCACTATCAGCAGAGCTTCTAGACTAAGACAATTAAAGAATAAGGACCCGGTATTCTACTCCAGAAATCATTGGACAGTAGAAACCTAATGAATAAAGAGTAGAATGAAGTCTAATAAAAAAGATAGAAGATGAGAACCCCAGCTTAGAAGGCAAAATAGACCAGAGCAGGAGGTGCCTCCTCAAATTATATTGATGACGTGGGTGGGGTAAGCTTTGGGGAGGTCTTCATTTTGCTGATGTGGTGTGACTCAAGATGAGACGAAACAACTATAAGTATCCATTAATCATCAAAACAGGGGGTATACAAAGTATCAATTGAGAAAATTGCATGTTAGAAAATATTAAGTAAAATATAAATATCCATGCCCTAGACATCAGTGAGTTAAGTGGACTGATATTGGCCACTTTGAATCAGGCAGTCATATTGTCATCGATGCTGTGAATGACAACTTTCTGAGGAATTGCATCATATTCATCATCAAAGGGAACATGTAAAGATCTGTCCTGAAGTAAAATGTTGTAGGTGACAGGATAATATCCACATGCCTACATGGAAGCCCATATGGACTTTTATTATTTAGTATTAAATTTGAATACTATAAAGACTATCCAAATTTATGCACCACCACCACCACCACTGTCAAAAATGAAGGAATCAAAGATATTTTAGCACCTTCTTTGGTCTAAAAATGATTAAAGTTGCAATCAAAATGCAGGATACTGGGATGTGAAAGGTAGAAACAAGAGACAATTCAAGGTGGTGACTTAGTCTGATGCCTCATAAACTCCCTCCTAAAAGAAAGACCTGAATACCAAGTGATTGGGCTATAGGAGATAGCTTTGTGACCCTGAACATGAAAATGGTAGCAACCATGCTCCCTGGTCATTAGAGTGGACACCAATATGGTGTGAGAGCTGGAGACACTGGACTCTAGGTTCCCCACCTGCTCCCCCACCAAATTGCTGTTGAAGAGCCAGTTAATGTGCTCAAAGCCCAAAGGGGTGCACTGGTGACAATGCTGCCATTATCTAGTGACCAAAGAGGTGCTTTCTATCCCCTTATATGCTAGCCTCCAAGAGAAACAGGTAAATCTCTTCAACCCCTCTCACCAAGCACCCTCACATAGTGAAGCCGAGCTCACATTTTCTACTAAGATGGAGTCTTAAAAATGCCCCCACCAAAAAAACAAAGAATGTGGCTCAGCCCACACCCTCCACCAAGGTCACGTCTCCACCCCACCCCATTCCTGTCCATCAGCATTGTAGAGAATGCCCTCTAAAATGGGACCATAGCCAAGGGTATATCATGTCCATGACCATAATGTATCCTATAAAGAACTGTAATTAGTTCTTTATAGGATACATTATGGCCATAATAGTAGGCCATCACCCACCTAGGTTGCACACCCTACTGCTGCAGTCTCGCAGGTAAAAAGACATGATCCAGTGAATCAAGGCCTGCTCACCTGCCACGTCTCTAGCTACATTATGCTCTCCTATATCCTGTGTTGCTGGAACGCACCGTCTGACAATGTGGACATGTCGTATTGTACCCTCCAAAGTCGACAGCACTGTGTTTGGCAGTCATCACTGACTGTGCCAGGTTTGCTATTTTTTTCTCATTCCCTTTTTTTTATTTCTCATTTTCCTCACAATTTCCATCCTCTGGCCATGCTTTTTGTCTCCTTTCCTTGCATCTTTTTTTTCTTTCCCCATCAATTGGGAGCCAGATACAAGCTACACCACTGAGTAAGTGCCACCACCCACCAGCACCAACTCATTGATGAAAGACAATGGGCAGCAACCGACCAGTCTGCTGTACATGACCGGTGATCAAAGACTTGTAATTACAATCCAATTTATTACCAAATCCACTCTGAGATATCTAAGGAATTCTCACTGCTGCAAACCTATCAACCAAAGTCCAATGCCCACCCCGCTACCCAGCTGTATTGAGAGAGCTCTAAGAATTCAGCAAAACAATAGAAGAATAAATTGATAAAATAAATAGACAATTAAGAACTACAAAGGAGCAGGTATAGATCAAGAAGATTGGTACTGGAATTAAAAAAATAGATAATGCATTTGAAGGACAAACAATTGAATTGACTCAATGAAGGGCAGACTTGGTGAAATTGAAGGCAAAGCTTTGACCCAAGTCTGTCAGAGGAAGAACCAAAAAAAAGAGTTAAACTGCTGTAAAATTAAGAATTTTGTGGGGTATTATCTTGATAAATAAACTGGTGTAAAATCAAGAATTTTGTGGGGTATTTTCTTGATAAATAAACTGGTGTAAAATTAAGAATTTTGTGGGGTATTATCTGGATAAATAAATTACAGATGATCAAAATTCCAAAGCAGGAAGGGACAAAACTAAAAAACAAAAAGGTGGCAAGCAAAAAGTCACCCAGAGAAACTTGGTGAAGATTTGTTAACCCGAGAAGCAAACGTCCATGCCTAGGAAAGAGGCAGGAATCTCAAGGAACTCCAATTAACATAATCTGCAAAGAAAACCACCAAGACATATCATAATCATTTTTTCCAAAAAGACTGAAAAAGAATACCGAGAATCTCTTAAGTAAAATGCTGGCCAGAAATACTTACCAAAAATGATTAAGCTTGTCGTATTGGCAGAAGCCACCCAGGCAACGGGTTGGCACATATACATCCTGAATGAATAAATTGTTGCCTCGCTAAAAATTATCTATCCAAAATAATATCTGTCAAATATAATGATAATATAAGATGATGCTTAAACAGAAGTTAAGAGAATGCGTAAAAACCAGTCCAATCTTCTAAGAAATACTAAAGGGCGTTATTCAGAAAGAGAACAGACATACGTATCACTCCAAGATTAAAGATACATGGAATCACTTGGAAACTACGCAGCTAAAATATTTTCAAAAATAAGTCTGTAGGACTGACAATAATAAAGAAAAGGCATCCATCTGCAAACAATAAGAACCTCAAAACAAAAAGAGAAAACAAATGGTTTAGCTGTGGAACTTCCAAATGTTGAGAAATTTTAAAAAAACATCAAGACAAAGCAAACTTTTAAACCAAGGAGAAAAACACTTAAAGACAGAGTAAAAACATAGAAATTAATAAGCATAGTAAACAAAGTGAAAAAGAAGAAAATTCATGAAGACTAAGTAAACACACACAAAAAACAGCAATTGGGGAAATGAAAAGAAAAATTGTAAGTTTAAAAGCTCGGCATACAAAATGATCAGACAAAAGTAAATAATCAGCACTAATACATGAAACCATAACAAAAAGTTATCAGTGAATTCTTAACTATCAATAATTACATTGAATATAAATGGATTAAATTCACACTCATATAAAGATAGTAGCATAGTGGACAAGAAACCCTGATCTATCAATATGCTACTTACAAGAGACGCAACTTGGACACAAATATTAAAAGAAGCTAAAACTGAACATTTTTAAAATGTCTATCAAGCAAATAGCAACAACAATAAAAGAGCTGTAGTGGAATACTAAATTCTGATGAAATACCAAAACAAAGCGAAAGGCATAAAGAAAGCTATATTTTAATTAAAGGGTCCATTAAGCAAGGAGGAATAACTGTAATAATTATGTACACATCTAATCAAAAGCACAAAAATACATAAAGCAATTTTAACAGAACTGATAAATGAAACAGACAACTCCACAACAATAAGAGATTTTATCACTGCACTTTAAATTAGGCAACATGACAAGAAAGAAATTCTGCAGAAATACAGAAAAAAATTGTTCATATTTAAATTATTGCTACAAAAATGTACAAATGTGCTTGAGACAATGGATGGATGGATGGATTGTGATAAGAGTTGGATGAGTCCCCAATAAAATGATTTTTTAAAATTTTATCGCAATTAAAAGATAAAAAACACTTGTGAAAGCTGTATGAGCTAAATTTTGAGGGTGATACTGAACAGTTGCTCCCAGGTACATGGAAACTGTCTGATTCAAAATGAGGCACATTTACTTTTCAACTTGTAACCTTTGGGTCCTAGTAACACCCCTAAAATGTTGCACTAACTCAGATGTCAATCTTTAGAGTATTTCTAAGACATAATGCATCTATTGCATACTTGTCAATTATCTCATTTTGTAACATCTTCCATTTATAACAATAGTAACAAAATATCATTTTTCACATTAATGATGTACACAGGGGAATAATTAATGCCACAGTACAAGATAAGAGCAATGCTGATAGGGATTCTTAAAGTTTTGTGTGAACTTGCCTGGCCCATGATTCTTAGTGGTTTGGCAGTTATGTAGTGATGGAATTTGGCAGTCATTTACTGACAGAGTCATACTCTATTTTGTGATCTGATGTGGTCCTTCTCCATTTTTACATAATTGCGATTTCCTCCTAATGACTTGGTTTTAGAAATGTAATCATGTCAATAGGTAAGAAGTAGGGCTAATAATTTTCTTAATTTTCATATTATTCTTAGATAATTGTTTTC